GCTTCAACCACATGTTCTGCCCCCGGGGTTTCTGTAGCACAAATAGAAGCTGGAATTGTGGGGGTGTTAACACTCGGGGGAGTGGGGGCTAGTGGGTAAATTCCCCATCACCCCTCACTTAAGTCAACTATTTGTATGCTTAGCAAATGTAAGTGAGCCCTGTTGCTCAATGCAGGTGGCAACCTTGATAACACCTCCCTATTAAACGTTCCTCCTTCCCATCTCCCCCTTCTCCTTTACTTCTGCCTTCTGGAGTCAGCTCCCAAAAAAACCACTCCCAAAATTTCTCTCTCAGACTTTGCTTTTGGAAGACACTCACACTCAGACAGGCTTCCTATGGGATTCTGACTCATAATGAGGCAATTGAGTTTTATAGGAGAATCATTTGAACCAGTTGGTTTCCTTGCTGCCAAGAAATATCACACCCACTCGCATCCAGCTCTCAAGCAGAGCTGGATTCCTCCAGGGTTCAGCCGGGGAACCCATGACCTGTGTCTCTTCTGGTAGGAGAGAGTCACTTATGCAGGATGACAGGTAGCAAAGGCTAAAGTGCCTTCCAGAGAGCCAGGGGTGAGGAATCAAAATCGCTGATGAATATGGCTTCCTCCCCTCTGACTCTCCTTCCCGGCTTGCTGGTCAGGTCTGCATTCACGCACCTCCACGAGTCCTGCTGTTACACTCTGCATTCTTCAGCCTCCAGCATCGTACCCTTCTCTTTCACACCTCTGAGACGCTTGCAGCTCTTCCGCAGCTCTGTAGCTCTCCCTGGTCTGCCTCACCCCAAATCCAGGCCACAGCCCTGGGCTTTATTCACCAAAGCACAACTGACTTCAGGTAATAAAGAGGGGAAGGACCAGGACATCAAGCAAGGGTTTTCTGAAGGGAAACCCTATGAGACAGGGAGAGGCCATGGGGGGAGTTGGGGAGCATACAAGAGAAAAGCAACAGCCATTGGCATGGGTTAAGGATGCAGATGCTCCCTGACTCGTGATGGTTCCACTTAGGATTTTTATACTTTATGATAGTGTGAAAGCAATATGCATTTAATAGAAACCATACTTCGAATTTTGCTTTGGACCTTTTCCCAGGCTGGCGATGTGCTGTATGATCAATCCTCTCTCACAATGCTGGACAGCAGCGCTGTATGGTCAATCCTCTCTCACAATGCTGGACAGCAGCAGCGAGCAGCAGTTCCCTGTCAGCCACTCGAGCTGAGTGGGAAAGAGCCAACACCGTGCAGTGTACTGTGTCGCCAAGCTGCGATGTTTCACAGGCTAAGTGTATTACACACGCCTGTTCAACATATCCGATCTCTGACTGAGAGTGGGTTCATCAAGATGTACAATCCCATGGTAAATCAAGGAGCATATGTTTGTTGCAAATGTGGGATACTTTTGGGGAGTGGCTCCATAGAGAGCCTCATACAGTGTACATTATTTTGAGGCTTCCACCTTTTATTTAATTTCTTAAAGATTTTTAAAATGACCCCCTAAGCCAGGCGTGGTGTTGCACACCTGTAATCCCAGCACTCAGGAAGCTGAAGCAAGAGGATCATTGTGAGTTCAGTACCAGCCTGGGCTACAAAGTGAGCTCAAGGCCAGCCTGAACTGCATAGTGAGACCCTGTCTCAAAAAGACAAAAAATAAAAATAAAAAAATAAAATGACCCCCCTAACAGTAACTACAAATTTGCATCATACACTCCAGGCTCACTGTTCTGGGAGAGGGAGCCCAGGGGACACCACCACTAGCACACACATACCCTGCTACATCAGGGTAGCGAGAAAAAATCCCTGGGCTACTTGTGGACATGATAAAGAAGTCCCTGAAACAGACATAACGAATGTCACCTACAATTTCCTTGGCCCATTTCTTTGTTGGATTGAGTCTTTTCCTTGTTATTTTGCAGTTTTATTGTATTTTCTGGATATTAGTTACTTTTATAAATGTTGTAAATATTTCATCCAAGCCTATTGCTTATTTCTCATATGAGTTGTCAGACCTGTCTATCTTGTCTGTAGAGGCAAAATATTGTTTTCCCACATTGCATTTGTAAAATATTTATGTCCCCTGCATTTTGGTTGTCATATCATTAGACTCTGCGGTTTCTGGTTCGGCTCTAATAAATAAAACATGTCCAAAATTAAGAGAATGTTATAATACACATCTCCAACTATCCCCTGCTGTAACATTTACCTACACACAACCAGTTCTATTTCATCCTCACCCCTCCTATTTCTCCCACCGGACCTGCTGAATTATTCCAGCTCAAAGCCCAGATATATCATTCACCTGTAAATATGTCAGCATACAGCTCTAGGATACAGAATCTTTTCTTTTTCACTTAACTGCCACACCACAGTATTATTGTGCAGAAATAATTGACTAGACTGCCTTATCCAGTTAGTGTCTGAATTTATCTGATATTCCCATGATTCTTTGCAATTGGCTTGTTTAAACCAGGATCCAAAGTCCAAGCACTGCACATACAGTAGTTGCTATGTCTCTGAAGACTCTTTTAACCCATAACAATTCCTCCTCCCTCTTTTTCTCTTGCCATTTTTTAAGAGAAACCAGAAAATTGCTCTGTGAAATCTTCTGCCTGAGGAATTGACTAAATGCACGGCTGTGTGAATATTTCTCTCCCATATCTCATAAGCTGAAGGTTGTTGCTGGAGATCGAATCAGATTCAAGTTCAAAGTTCTCTGACAAAATCATTGCGCAGACAAGGATGTGTCATCCCTATTACAACACAGCAGAAGGTACACATGTCCATGGATTTTTAAAAATTGATCTCCTTCTAATATTTGCTTATTTCTTTCTCTGGATCAACCTCCAAAACTAGGCAAGGTAGCAGTGCTCTCCTTGTTTCGACCCTGTCCTTGGTGGAAACTTTTCTTACCCCACTGTTTTAATGCTGGGTCTTAACCCATCAGGGGTACTTCTCATATTATAGTCTCAGTGGGCAGCAGGTTGCCTCCAGAAGTAAGACTGCATAGGTTATAGCATGTATTCATTCTTTTCTCTTTTTTTTCTTCTATGTATTTATTCAGTTCTTTTTTGGTGCTGGGGAATTAAACTTAGGCCTTCACACATGCTAAGAAAGTATTCTACCTCTCACACTATATTCTACCACTAAGATACAGCTCCTTTCTTTCTTTCTTTCTTTCTTTCTTTCTTTCTTTCTTTTTGAGATACGGTTTTGTTAAATTGTCTGGGCTGGACTCAAACTTGCAATCCTAAACCAGGCATGGTGGTACATGCCTTTACTCCCAGTACTCAGGAGTTTGAAGCCAGCCTGGGCTCCATAATGGAGGCTGAGGCAGGAGGAGCACTGTGAGTTCAAGTTCAGCCTGATCTACACAGTAAGAGCCTCTCTCAAGAAAAAAAGGGAGAGGGCTGGGAATGTAATCCCTAGTAACATCTCTCCCCCAACTGCTAATTATATTAAATGAAAAAATTAAGTTATCTTGTTAAAAGACAAAAAAATCCTGAGAGAATAACACATAAAACGCAATTACTATATGCCCAAGAGACGTCTGAAACAGAGGTTGAAAGCAGAGTATGGGGGCTGGGGATTTAGCTCAGTGGCAAAAGCGCCTGCCTGGCAAGCGCAAGGTCATGAGTTTGGTTCCCGGTACCGGAGAAAAACCAAAAAAAAAAAAAAACCCAAAAAAAAGAAAGCAGAGTATGAAAAACACTAATGGGTCAAATTCTAACCAAAATAAATTATCGTGTAACATGTACTTCATAACAAAAATTGTTAGTAAAGTTAAAGAGGGTCACTGGGGCTGGGGATTTAGCTCAGCAGCAAAGCGCCTGCCTGGCAAGCGCAAGGTCGTGAGTTTGGTTCCCGGTACTGGAGAAAAACCAAAAAAAATAAAAAATAAAAAAAATAAAGAGGGTCACTTTCTAATAATAAAAGGTTCAGTTGCACAAGGAAATATACCAGCAGCAAATACATGTATACTAAATAATAATCAAAATGTATAAGACAAAAAATTTTGAATGATAAAAAAAAAACAGGAGCTGGGGATGTGGCTCAATGGTAGAGTTCTTGCCTTGCATGCACTAGTAAAAGATTGTAAAACATCCCCAGGGAGTGTCCTCACCCATCTTACTCACTGGATCTGATACCATGCAAATTCTGGCGTGAAAGGTAACCATTTCTAATCAATTCAGGACATCAAGGCAGCCATGACAGTGCAACTAAAGACATAAAAGAGGACTTCCAGAAATTCCAAAGTGCCAAGAATAAAAGCTAAGTTTGTTCGAAACAAGGGGGATTAAAAACAATGTGTCTGGGGCTGGGGATTTAGCTCAGCAGCACAGCACCTGCCTGGCAAGCGCAAGGTTGTGAGTTCGATCCCTGGCACCAGAAAAAAAAAAAAAAATGTGTCTTTTACTATAATAGAGTTTTTTAAGTATTCGCCCTATTTTTCAATGACACCACACATTTCAATAATTCCATGAGTGTCTGTAAGTCCTAACTGGTTTGTCCTCACTCCTGTCCTTGCTTGTTGATTCTATTAAGGTTGGTGCTTCCCTTCCCTGGTCCTGGTTGACTCTGGGTTTTGAACTTAGGGTATTTGTCCCATCCCCAACAAAGCACTTCTGCTTGCTGGGAGGAATATGATAGATACGACTAAGTTTCATTCAAAGTTTTTGAAACTCTCAATGAATTGGGGTAGTTAGGCTCTAGGGGGTGTTGCTGCAGGTAGAGGATCTCTAGTAATGATCCTGTTTTCTGGCTGAGACCCAGAACAGAATAATATGCCTAAGCTCACACACCTGGAAATGACAAAGCCAGGCGCTGAGCAGGCCATCGGGTCCACAATTCAGTTCTCATGATGTCACTGCCTGCCCAAGGCTCCCTCCTGCCAACCAGCCTACACCCAGATCCTAATGCCCAGTAAGCAGACAACACAGAGGATGCTGGAATACATTTCTCTTTCTTTTACTTTAAAAAAAGCAAAACTCTCAAATTAAAAAAAAAAAAAAAAAAAAAAGCTGACAGTAATGAGCTTCACAGTGTACACAGCGTCATTGGTTTCCCTCCCTCCGTCCCTCCAAACCTCACCCATCATACACTTCTCAGCCTCCAGCCGTCTCCCTCCCCAAGCATGTGGACATCTCCAGACAGGAGGATTCCCAGTACCAGACCTTGGCAGTTCAGGGCATTGAGCAAATAAATTAGGGTGAAGGAGGCTGAGTGCTGGTCTTGTTCAGCTCTGTCTCACAGACCCAGCGGTAGGGCCTCTGGCACACGTCATCATTCCAGCGACCGTCAGGGGTGAAGTGGGCACAGTCCTCCCCTCCTCCTAGTCCATGCCCATACCAGTCATCCGGCTGCAGTGGTCTCCAGTTCCTGCACACAGGAGACAGCCATGCGTGTCAGGAGCCCCTCCAGCCCTGGGCCTCGGACTGGGAAGGCCAGACAGTTCCAGACACAGGGCACAGCGCTACAGGCAGACAGGCACACACACTCACTTGAAGCCTGTCTCGTAGTCAGTCCCGTCCACCCATTTCCAGGGTCCATTTTGGTCTGTTAGACCCATCCAGGTCTGCACAGGGCCCGTGTTGTGCTGGATAAACCTCTGGGGAGAGAAGAGGAAGCTGCTGACCTTTCCCTTGGACCAGCCAGCCTTCCAGAAGAGCCTGCCAGCATCTCACCTGCTCATCCCAAGAAGTGACCACCACCAGGTGGGCATTCTCCAGCTGGCAGTACTTGTCAGCTTCGGGCCAGGGCTTCCCGGATTTAGAGAACCAGTAGCAGCTGCCTTGGAACTCCACCCAGTTAACAGGGCAGCAGATCTTTTCGGAGCCTTCGGGGGCAGGGAGGGAGAAGGGGCTGAGATGCTGGCTTGGGGGGATGTGGGCTGTGAAGTAGGACTGGGCACCCCCTCACCATTGCCCTGGAGGACAGCCATCTGACAGCTCAAGCTTCGAAGACTGGACACAAACTGCTTCACATGGAATAGCAGGTTGGAGTGATCTGGGGAGGCAGAAGCCAGAGGGGCACAGAAGCAAGAGGGGCAATGAGGTCAGTATGGACACGGGGGCCGGTGCCTGTCGCTTTATTGAGAAGACCAATTACAGATGCCCCGGCCAAGACTCCTTGATTTGGCCTGAGAGACCTCTGGCAACTGCACACACGTGCATACAACACACACACACACACACACACACACACACACACACACACACATTTAGACTCCCTCTCTGACCTTCACTCAGGTCCTGCTGCTGTTTTTCCAGCTGGGACTCCAGCAACCTCATCTTCCTTCCCACATTGCCTCCTAGGGGAGAGAACTGCTCAGCGCGCTGACATTCCTACACCCACAGTCCCACCCTAGACTCCGCCCAGCCCGCCTCACCCTGGGTGCTCAGGGCCTTGACCTCGGCCTCGGTGCTCGCTGTGAAGTTGTGGAAGGTCTCTCTCAGGGCCTGCAGCTCCCCCTGCAGCTGGGAGTCTGCACGGAGAGTGAGTAGGACAGAATGAGTATAACAGAATGAGTGTGACAGTATGTTGGCCACATTCACCCATCGCTCCGCTCACCGCCGCCCTCCGCTAGCATGCCCCCACCCCCGTATCGATCCCTTCTCCGCTCATCCCAGGACACCCACTTTGAGATCCGATCACACAGATAACCACCAGCAGCAGGACGGTGAGGCTCAGGGAGAGCAAGAGGAGACAGGGTCCGGAGCAGAGACGCTGGCAGAGGGACTTGGAAGGAGGTGGCCCTGCAAGACAGTCAGAACTCAGGGACACAGGCAAGCCTGGCACCGCTCCGGAGTCCTAGCAGGGGAGCAGGTCTCCTGTAATAGACGTGGAGGAGTCCTGTGTATATAGATTAGGAAATCTCGGCAGAGAGCCAGACGCAACTGGAAGCGGAGAACAGAACAGGTATGCAAGGGGCGCAAAGCTTTGACCTTCCCTAGCACTATCTAGACCTCGAGTCTTTGCTGACACCTAGTGGCATGGCTATGTCATTGCAGTTTATGAACCCCTTCAGAGATACCCCCGGGGAACAGATAGCTGCTTGCCCTTGCCAGTTGAGGAAAGGGGTTTGTTCCTTTCTACATGAATCTCACCTGTCTCTGGATGCGTGCAGGGAAAGAAAGGGAGGCCCCTCCACCCAGGGAGAAGAGAATGACATTTGGCCCTGTCCGTCAGCCGGAGTGTAGGGGCCTCCTCTCCCTTTTCTCCTTCCCTGGGCCCCTTACCCCAGCCGAACAAATTGCCCACCCCATCCCCCAAGAGCACCCCTAAACAAGAGTCTCTGCTGGGAGAACGAGGAGGGGGGCTTGTTTTGTGTGTAGGGAGTTCGAATCTTCCTCAGAGCAGAGACCCTCAAACTCCTGTCAGTCCTCTTGACCTGTTACCTGTAACCACGCCCATCCCAGCGCCATACACATACATCACACACACACACCATACATATACACACACATACACACCACACACATACACACCACACGCACCACACACACCACACACACACCACACGCACCACATACACACCACACACACACACCACACACATACACACATACACCACACATGCACACACACATCAAACACACACACAAACACACACACACATACACACACCACATGCACACCACACACATACACTACACACTTCACACACACATCAAACACACACACAAACACATCACACACACATACACAAACCACACACCACACACACACATCACACACACACACACCACACATACCACACACACCACACATACACACACACACACCACACACACACACATACACACATACACCACAAACACATACACCACACACACACATCACTGCACATCATACACCACACACAAGAAAGCACATACACACCACAGACTCAACACATACACCACACACAACCACACAACACTGACCACATACACACAGAGCCAAGGCAGAGGGGCATAACTTCAGAAGAAACTGACAATATACCCATCTCTTAGCTTCCAGCTGAGTCCATTCCCTCCCTGGGGTCCTGAGAAGCAAGTGTCGTGCCAGGAAGCCTGGGCCCTGTCCCTGAAAAAGGGACTCCAACTCCAAACCCCGAACTTCCCCTCGCAGCGGCAACTCAGGCCCCGATGAAGCGTGCCTCACCTCTTCGGAGCTGGTGATGGTCCTTCTCCTCATTGTCCAGGTGCTGGAGATCTTGATACTCCTTCGTCATTATAAGGCTGGTGCTGGACCCGGGATGAGTCAAGGCTGGAGCTGAGTGGAACTGGGGTGAGGGTAGGTTCTGATCCCTTTTTGTACCCAACTGATGATTCCTGTCTTCTTTCCTCCACCCCCTCCCAGGCCTGACATCCAAAATCCACCCTCTGCCCTTTCCCACCACACACATACACACACAAACCCCCACCACCCCTTTGCTCCCCCACACCTTTATCCCTGTTTTACTTGCTGAATGTCTCCAAATCTGACTTCCAGGTTCCTTGGTGCTGTGCAGATCCCAGGCTAAGGAGGGACCTGAAGCCTAGAGAAGTAGGGTGGGTAGAAGCCCTGGACAACGGGAGGGGCAGGGTCCATACGAGGGCCCTGAGACCTATGCGTCTGGGTGTCTGAGCACACCAAGCCTGGCATCTCCAGCACCTGGGACTTTGGACAGTAAACAGAGGTGGACATGGATTTGGAACTTGGGGGATGGGTGGGGGTGGGAATGGGGGATGGGTTGCCTCTGCTCTTCTCCCCAGGGAGGGGGGTCTCCTGGTCTCTACCCACACACATGGCAGTCACCTGACTCCTTGTTGCATGATTTGGGAAGGAGACCCAGACCTGGGGGGGGCACAGTTTGCTGTTTCCCTCTGCCCCTGTCCCTTCCACTTCCTGCCTCTCGATATCCCAGAATTGGTGTCTCCAAACATTCCTGACTAAGATCAGAGAGATAGACAGGTTCCCTGCTCTTACCCAATCTGGGCCTGTGCACCTGGCATCCAGATAGCAGGCCACAACTTCCTGTAGGCTCAACCCCAGGCACCCCAGCCCTGAGTTACTCTACTAGGAAGTCTGAAGACCTCCAAGTGGCGTGGGCGTGGGGTCGGAGCTGGTGGGGAGCCTCAGTCGGCAGTGATCCAACAAACAGCCATCCTCTGCCATTTCCTCTCTCCACCCCAGAGCTTTTCATTCATTCACTTCTCTTACCAGCCCCAGAGCACAACCCATTTTGCAGATGACAAAGCTGAAGCTCTGGAAAAGCAAGAGCTTGCAAAGAGGAAGCAAAGGGAGGACTGACACATGGGCTGCCCCCAGAACCACACTGAGAATTGGGGTCCCATCCCAACCACAAACCAGGACCTCGAAGGTGCTAAGCATCATCCCTCACAGCCCCTGGGGGCAGAGAGGGTTGTCTGAGTTCAAATGAACTTGGAAATTGGATGATATTAAAGATGCTAACAAGTCTTGTTTTAGACTCCACATGTGAAGTCATGCAAATCCTACTTTACAGATATTTCAAGGAGAAAACCAGACTTGAATTGTGAGAGTTCCAGATTATGTGAGATATTCAGGGACATGTTGCTTGCATAAAATGTGACAGCTTTGTGTGTGCCCTTGTTTTTCTGTGTCCTGAAAACCCTTGTGTCGTTTGCACACACTGGGCTCCTGAACAGTGATTTTGTTGACAAATGGGCTGTTCATTTAATGCTTGCAATCTTGTTTATTCAGGAAGTGATCGTACACTGGTTTGGTCAGAATAGTGCTTACTCTCACAGTAGCAGTGACTTGTAAGGAGCACAAGGGACGCCTGGGGGCAAGGAAACATCCAGGTTCTTGGTCTGGATGCCAGTTACACAGGCGTACTCAGCTTGCAAAACTGCAGAAAGCCCGTTATAGTTTGCGTTTTTTTGTTTTTTTGGTTTTTTGGTTTTTGGGGGTTTTTTTGGTCTTTTTGAGACAAGGTCTCGCTATGCAGTTCAGGCTGGCCTTGAACTCACTTTATAGTCCAGGCTGGCCTCGAACTCACAACAATCCTCCTGCCTCAGCCTCCCAAGTGCTGGGATTACAGGCGTGCACCACCATGCCTGGCTGTAGTCTGCTTTTTTGTTTGCTTATGGTACTAGAATATTTTGCAATCTTCTTTCCACCCTATAACTATGTTCCTCAAACTCATTGATGAGGCAGTAGTGCTCAGAGTGTGTAAATCACTCTTCTTTAGACTTCTATCTAGAAAGATGTTTTCTAATGTAATTAATAACTTTGTTCAGTTATATGTGTTTTAGGTATTTATTGCTACAAAATAATTAACCTTAGCAACCTAAAACAATGAACTTGACCAACTCACTTGGTTTTGTTTTTTTCTTTGTTTTGGTGCTGGAGATGGAACCCAGAATCTTGCACATCTCAGATTCTTAGGAGGCATCTTAGCTAATTGATTCTGGCTCAAAGTCTCACACCAAGATATCAGTCAGTACCACATTCATTAGAAGGCTAGAGGGAGCACCAAGATGGCAGAGTGCTAAGCAGCAGAGAAAGAGCCTCTTCGAGAGTTGCTGTCCAGACACTGGAATATAGCAATGTGTGGAAGACAAGGAGGGAAGTCTGTCCCCTGGACCCAGGAAGGATCTGAAGTGTAAACTGAAGCCCACAGAGAGAGTGAAGAGAGAAACTTCTACAAAGAAGAAAGGGGTAACTTGTGGTGCCTTCTCCCTAACATGGGACTCACTACAAAAGAGGAGTGCCTCAAACCTGCAGACACGCAGTGACTGCTGACGACCCAGAGGCCTCCATGGAAAGATGCAGCAGTGGAGTGGAGCAGCAGATGTTAAAGACTGCACTAGCTGACAATGAGTGCTGAGGACTCAGTCATCCCACACGAGAGAGATTGGCTGGGAGCCATGTTGGACAGGGGCCAGCTGAGCTCAGAACTCAGAGTGGCTGCTGGCTCCATCTAGTGGTTCTCAGCTAAGCTCAGGTCCATGAAAGGTACGCTGATGGCTGCAGGCCGAATAAGTCTGGTCTCAGCCAGAAAGTTCAGGCTTGCTAAGATTATCCACTACCTCACCAAAAAGCTACTGCTGGCTTGCTGGGATAAATCAACATCGATTGTGACTCTCTCCACATGTTGTCTACCAGTGACAGCAGAGACAAACCTGGAAGTGGACTTTTTTTTTCTTTCCTCTCTCTCTCTTGTTTGTTTTTTATTATGGTGGTGGTGGTTTTGTTTTTGGTAAAAGGCGAAAGATTTATTCAATCTGAAGAGAAGCCAGTGTTTTTGGTTTCTGTTTTCTTTTTGGTTTTTTCTCCTTCATTGTTTCATCTTGTTTTTATATGAATGTGAACATGGTTTCTAGCCTCTCCGTGGTTATGGTTCTGTTCTGTTCTGTTCTTTTTATCTCTTCCTTCTCTCTTTCCCTCTAGTCTTCTGCACCAGTTTCCCAAAGTTAGTGGGGTCCCCCTTTGTCCTCCAGCCCTATTTCTAATCTCTTCCTCTTCCTCCACTTCTTTATTTTCTTCCTAACCCATTTTAAATTTTAACCCCTGGGGGCAAAATTGACATATTAGGGATTTATATACTGCATATAATTTTGGTCTGTTTTAGATTGTGTTACATAACTACAAATCTAATTCATTTTCTAGGCTGTGATTGTTGCTTCTGTTATTGCTGATGGTACCACTTTAGCCAAAAGTGACATAATTGTTCTAGGCAGGTGCTTATGCCACTGAGCTATATCCTCATCCCCAACATAATTGTTCTAAACAGCTATTCTTCCTGGTATTCCAAGACTGAGATTGACTAAGGGTCATAGAAAATACTGTCGCACAGTGCCAAAGAACCAAGGGCTGGGCCAAAGAGGCAGCAACTTCCCATCCCTAACAAATTGAAGAGGTAGGATCTTGCAACAGACTCAAAACCCAAACAGCAGTTACACCTAGAAGATACCTCAGAGAAGTAGTCATTTTCTAAGTGTTCTAAATACTAGCAATAAAGAAACCCACCATAGGCAACATAGAGCCATTACCCCAGGAAGTAAACTAAAAAAAGAAGATAGGCTTGATGGTGCATGCCTGTAATCCCAGCACTCAGGAGGCTGAGGCAGGAGCATTGTTATGAGTTTGAGACCAGCCTGGGCTACAAAGTGAGCTCAAGGTCAGTCTGAACTTCATAGTGAGACCCTGTCTCAAAAA